ACATAGCAAGACTGGTTTTTTTTTTTTTTTTTTTTTCCCACTATTACTAGTTCTTTATATGAATTCCTGTAAATAAAGTGTACTTTCCACATCACAATCCTCATCAAGGTACTACCAGCAGCTCTTTAGCTGCTCTAGGCACATGCTACAGTGCTCAGCCAGAGCGCTAACAAAGGACCCTGTCCCTTCAAACTTGCAGAGGCAAATACAAGTGGCAGCCACCTCGACACCTGTATGGCAGGCACAGTCTCCAGATGTGCTTCTTTTCTAGTGAAGAAAACAGCTTCACAAAGAAAACAGCTTCCCTGCTTAATATATACACATCCCAATTTGGGGGGCTGATTTTTTGGGGGAAAAAATCACACATTGTATGTGAGAAAATATGGTATTTCCAATACATAGATTTCAGCGTTTCTGGTAAATTTTATTTTAAAAGTGTGTCTTTACTTTGTCCTATTCCTTGCTGTTTGTCCCTACAACACTCGCTCTTATTAGGGAAAAATACCTATTTCCTATTTCCGTATATGACCCAAAAACTTGCATTTGGATTATAATCAAAGTTTGCAGAAACTTTCCTTGTCAGTGTAATAATGTTTAAAATTTGTGAGAGTGACACAATAGCCCAGAATGCTGATGACCACATTAGACACAAAAGTAAAGACGAGTGTTACCTGGGACGTGCATCCTTCCAGAGCTACCCAACCAGGCCTGACAATTAACAAGCTCAAGTTAGTCTCAGATATTTCGATTTGGCATTGACGGAGAGACAAAATGGCAACTAACAGACTTTAAAAGAGGGGGGAAAGGAGAGTACTTCTATGTCAAGCTCAGGAAGAATTATAAATGAGATTTTTGATGCCTGGACATGAAAAGCAGAGCAGGAAGAATGTGGGTGTTTACAGCTGTCAGACACTATGGGTTACATGACCAAGACATCAAGTTTAAAGAGCTCTAAGCTGCAGAACCATTTTCTGCCAGGCTATAAATCTAGGCAGTTAACAAAAAAATCTGTTACTAAGCTTCAACCAGCCTAATGATTTTTCCATAGAATTTGTAAAGGTATTATTCTCAAGGGATCTAACTTTGCTTCCTTACCCTCTTATTCTTTAATCAATAAAATGGTATTTCACTGAAAGCAAACTGAGTGGAATCTGGTAATTTAAGACAACTACTACATGGAACCAGGGAATGTGACCACATTACTATTCTTTTTAGGCTGGCAAATGAATAAAAAACTACTTCAGTATAAGATTATGGAGCTCGAGAAGACTGAAGCCTTCCTCCCGAAATAATCACAACCTGGCAGACAAGTACAGTGGGGGGAAGGGGATAGGAATAATATATACATTAACTACTGCTGCATCTTGTATCATGCCTTTAGCTAGAAAAATAAAAATACTGATTTTCCTAATTAAACCTCTAGATTTATCAGCAGGTCTGTGCAAAGGTAACTGTCCAATGGAATAGTTCTTTTAAGACTAGAGACTAGCCCAAGTGATTTCAAGAGCTGGACATAACGGACAACCTGGTTTAAGACATAAATCCACTAAGCTTTTACAGAAACAAAGTAATAGATGAATTATTGCACGTTCTGACACCTGTATTTGGGGGACAATGGGGGTGGGGGGGGAGAAGGGGTTGATTCTGGGATGCATGCATGAAATTACCCTGCCTTAACTCAAAGGCAGACTAGATCTTGTCATAAATGGGAAAAAAAAGTAAGATTACATGCACTTTTGCCTACCTGTGTAGCAATTAAAAGCCAACTCCTGCTGAATTCATATCTATGACCTAGAGAAGACTTACCTGTCTCTACTTCAGTGCTTATTCTCAAAGACAATCTGATTCCAGGTACCAAAGAATTAATAAAAAAGGTATTTAATTATTACTGAGGGTACCAAATATGTACAACATCAGAAAGGTAACAGAACTGGAGCTGAACTGTTTGCCAATCTACATAGGCTAGTTTTTGTTTATAATACCTCAACAAATAATACCCTAAGTCTACTAGACTGTAAACAGACATCACGTTTAAACAATTTTATCCTGGGACAAAGTGAAATTTCAGAAGTTCATGTCCATTGTTTTGAAGTAAATCCTACAAAAAGTTACCTAGCTAAGAAATATTAACAATTTATCTTGGGATAATGCAAAGTACATCTCTACATTTATCCCAGCACTGCATCATTGACTTCATGGCAGAAATACTGCACTGCATTCAACCACTCAATAACGGAAGTATGTGTGTGCATGCCAATCCCAGGATAAACACAAGCACAACTTGCTCAGGAACAAATGTAACATCTGTTTCTAGACGGAGATATCCAAAAAAAAGTATTTCTTACGGACAGTTTACATTATATGCTGCTGTAACAATAACAAAAAATAAAAATCCCTAATGCACTTTAATAGTATTGCAGCAATTCCTCTTCCTGGGTCTTTAAAAACTGACACATGGAGAATGCAAAACTAGTCAAGTAAGTACTACTGTGCCAAAATTAATTTCTGATCGATGTATTCAGGACAAGTACTTTTACTGCAAAAATGTTGAGAGAACTGATGCTGTTTCCCCTTTTTCTTGAGTTCAGTGAATTCAAACTTAGCTTCCACAAGTGCGTCTTATGGAGCAAATCTGACCAACTTAAGACAAGTGAGTATAGACTTGCCCAAGATTTCCGCTACTGCCATCTTAGCGCAAGGGCCCTTGACCACAGATCCTGCCATAATGGTTTCTTGTAGGATTCTGCCCCCCATCCTTCCCCCAGTACACACAATTTAGTGAGTTCTCTCTCACACCTGGATTCTGTTGACCCATTTATGGTAACACAAAGCATCCCTCAGATCATCAAGTTTCCTGCAGAGCAACTGAGAGCTCTGAAGTTAAGAATGTATTTGTATTTTTTTTTCTTTTTAATAAACACAACCCACAAAACTGTATGATTCTAACTTTTTAAAGCCAGCCTGAAAAAGTGAACAATAAATTGTTAAATTACATTAAAAGTTGAAGAAATGGAAAAGGTCAACCAGTTCTCATTTTTGTGCCATTACTCATATTAGTGATACATATACCCAAGTTGCTGTTTAGTATCAGAACGTGTACACAGGACTTAAAAGATAGGTAAATGTAATTGTATACATTGGAAATAACAATGAACTTATTTCCATTTTGTCCCATTTCTGTCTTAAAGGAAAATGAAATTGTTTTCATACCTGGACCAAGCAGTGGGGACCGGTTGGGCTGGGCACTTGACTGGTGCAGCGGCTGAGGTTCAGCCATATTGGTGTTGATAATGGTGGTAGTGGTGGTGGTAGTGGTGGTGGTACTGCTCTGAATTATAGGGTTGTTTCTATCCCACATGTTTACAGTCTTGTTGTTGTTGTAGTTAGGGTCGCCCCAAGCTGAGGTACCATCATCAATTTCCATCTTGCGGCGAATGGATGGTGGCGAAGGCTCTTCCCAGCCAGTTGCCTCACTGTTATCTTTTTGTTTGGCTGGCACTGGCCCACCAACCCATCCTGACCCAGTCTGTTTAACAGAAGCAGCTCCTCCCCAGGAACTCACATTGTTATCCTGGGGTTTATTAGCCCAGTTTTGCTGGGGGCTAGGTTTTAATGATTCCCCCCAACTTGTACCTGTATTAGCCTTGGTGTTTGTGCCATTTCCCCATCCACTGGTCCCAGACCTTGTAGTATCATTCCAACCAGACCCTGATCTATTGTCAGCATCCCATCCCGATCCATTCTTTTTCCCATCACCCATGTGTCCAGGGACAGATGATGAATCTGCCCAATCTCCACCTCCTGAAGTCCAGCTTGGATTTGATTTCTGTCCATCTCCCCAATTTTGAGACTTGGGTTTCTGAGGTTCACCCCAGGTAGGTGATTTGTCCTCCTGATTTGCGGTCCCACTCCAAGCGTGGCCGCTTTTGGCAGCAGCAGCATTATTGACAGCAGTAGAGCTTGCTGATTCTCCCCATCCCCCTGGGCCATTTGGCGCTTTGTTGTTGTTGTCTCCCCAACCTGTATTTGTTGGAACAGCTGCAGGTGGAGAGCTGACCCACCCAGATACTGAAGAGGTATTTGTACTGTTCATGATGGACCCATCGTTCTTCCCCCCTGAGTTTGAAGACTGAGTAGCTGCACAACCCCAGGCCTCCGTCCCATTGTCATTCTTTCGTTCAGACCTTGGGGATTCTTCAAATTCCCAGGCAGTGTTTTGCTTTACCGGAGTCTGTCCCCACCCAGTATTGGACAGGACCCTTGGGTCAAGGTCATTCCTTGGCAACTGGACTTGCCCTTGGTCTATCATCCCTTTGTCTCTCCTTCGGCCCTCTCCAGCTCCTTCTCTCCCAGTACTGCCTTCATTTTGACATCCACCACTATCATTACTTCCTTCACTAGCTGTGGTGCCAGATGCTGCAGCTTTGGCCCAAGAGTTCATTTGTTCATTGCCCTGCTGCATGGCAGGATTCTGGCTGGTAACACTAGGGCTATCCCACCCTGTTGATCCTTTCCCACTGATGTCACTATTGGAATGCTGGTTTGGGGGCTTGCCCCATTCACCATTAACACCATTACTGGTGTTACGGTTGGGGTGGCCCCAAGCTCCAGAATGCATACTACCAACACCACTGTTGCCACTGCCCCTGCCCCATGCTAGTACCCCAGGACCTGCTGGAGGTCCTGAATCCCATGCACTTGCTCCATTTCCCTCCTTTTGCACAGCGCTGCTGGATCCATTTTGTTTAGCACTTAATGCTGAGTTCACAGTGTCTCCATTCCCCTGACTGAACCCAGAATTGCTGTTTCCTGTGGCAGGATTACCTGGGGATATCCCCCACACTGAACTGCCCATTCCTTCACCATTGCCCCCACTGACTTGAGAAACTGATGTTCCATTAGCACCAGGAAGGCCTTGCAGGTGGGGCGGGATGATGGCCCCCATACCAACAGCCATCCCCCAGTTCGGCAGTCCATTTGTCTGCATTGCATTGATAGGGTTTGGTGAAGAGTTCATGGGGTTAGTGTTATTTGGTCCATCAGTGTTAAGGTTCTGAGGTTGTACGCTGAAAGACACATTCTGAGAAGTGGACGTTTGTGGTTCTGTGCTCTCTTGCGGCAGCAAATTTCCCCAAGCACCTAAGGTGCCTGTTGGGTTCCCATTCTGGCTGCCCAGGTTCTGACCTATGGCACTGACTGGACTGCAAATACTGGAAGGGTTGCCTGCTCCCACAGTTCCTTCGTGTCCGAGTACAGGCCAGGCAGCTGGATTGGCATTAGGGTTAAGGTTAAGATTAATGCCAGCATTTGAGTTGGAAGCACCCCAGCAGTTTGGACTTCTACCATCTCCAATCATGTTGTCCATCTTTCCATCCCCACCACTGGCAGAGCAGTGAGCTAGGCTAGAGTTGGAGCCTGTGGCCACACCCCATACTCTGGCTGAGTTTCCATTACCATTTGCTCCACCAGCTCCAAGGGCACTCTGGTTAGAAGTGCTTTGGATGAGTGCTCCATTGGCGCCGTTATTGCCATTAGTTTTCTTTGTATGTCCAGTGAAGTTGCCTTGGGCACTCCCTGTAGCCATGCTACTGTTCTCTGAGCCACAGTTGGAGGCAGAGTCAGTGTCTGTAGTACATTCTGAGGCAGATTCAGTCTCAGTTCCTGTAATGGAAGGCCACGCCTCCTTGTCAGTCCTGTCTATTATCACTTTATCCCAACTGCAGGTGCCTTCACTTCTGAAAGTGGGCTGCTGTCCCCAGTGGGAATTTTCATAATGGTCTCCCAATCCACTGTGACTGAGATCTGCAAAGGATTAGACAAAAGACAAAATCAGTCAGTATTCAAAATTTGTTAAAAACTACCACTTAGTACATTTTACTTTGAGTGAGATACAATACTCTATACTAAACTTAAAATCAAGCTAAAATACAGACTACAATACTTTATAAAGAAGTATATAAGATAATCTTGCGCATCAAACTAAGCACCTACTATGTTTCTGGCTGAAACATGTTTTTATTATAATGCTGCAACAGGAGCAAATGCAATCAAACATTTAACTAGTGATTTATCAATTTCTTAATATTTTCCATACATCTAATATTTTTTATCAAAATCACAAAACATAAGTTTTGTTTTGGAGCCGACCAAATACTGTACAATCTTCTGTATCGTTTGTCATGCCAGTTTAAATTAATAAGCAAACAATATACGTAGGCATTCAGTTGTTTTAAATTTTTTTATGTTTCAATAACTGGGGCTTCCAAAAATAGAGACAACAGTTATGGAAGTTTAAAGGTTTTTAATTACAATACCTCTGAACCAGAAATTAGTTGCATCCAGGAGAACTTTTAAGGTAACAAATTCTATATTCAGATCCAAAATAATTTAAGAAAGAGGAATGCTCTTCGGAGCTTTGCTATCCTGTTTAATTAATGGTCTCAGTTATTTGACTCAGTTTTGTCTTTTTTCAATCTTTCAGGTAAGTTTGAGGAAAGACAGATAAATAACAACTTCTTCAGAACTTAAATTACATTTTTCATGTAATATGTTTAAATAGGTATTACTTAGATAAAACAAGTCTGCCACGAGAAATATGTACAGTAACGAAACACTAAATTAATCCCCGATTTAAAAATTCCCCCACTCAATTTAAATGAGATGCAAGCTATTTTAAGGCAAATATAATAATGGTATCAGTGTGGTTATAACAAAATGTTCCTGTAGAGCAAAATATGTAGTTCAAGAAAACATTTTGGTTATGTCATGCAATGTAGATCTTACATTATTTAGATGTTACCTATCATTTAAACTTGCAATTATCATCCATTTCGTCTCCAAAACCTATGAAAATGTTACTTTTGTACTTGCGTTGAAGTGTAGCACCAGTTTCCCAACCCCCACCCGACATACAACTTAACCCCCATATATAAGCAAATTTGACTGAGGATCTGGGGAAAGAGTGGGCATGGCTGGAGTACACCGAGTTAACCTGAGAGAAGCCAAGGTTATTTCAAGTTGTAAAGTCTTAGATAAGGTTACCTATCCTAATTTTTCTGTACGGCATAAATAATTATGCTATTACCTCCCTTCACTTTCTCATGATAAGAATTTTATTCTGTACAATATCAGGTTTATCCAAGGGACACTTACTGCAGGGCAAGTTCTAGGAAGGGTAAGAAAAAATGCAGAAGTGCTGGATGTTATTTTTAACTTCTCCAAAATATTTTACTTAAAAGACAGTCTGAATTATTTATAGCACACAGAATCAGCCAACATAATTATGTCATCAATGAAAAAACCTCTACAGAAAACAAAGACTATTAGTGCCATACACACGGCTTGTTCTGAATAGCTATGCACTCTATAAGCCAAGATAAAGCCAAGGATAATGCTTCACAGATAGTCTACTGCCAACAATTATGCTTCAGCGGATTTTAAAATCTATGCCAGCATACAGAACTAGTCAGTCTAGTAACTGAAAATAGCCAAGAAATAGTTTCTTTTTCTAATATCCAAAAGATCTATAAAAGTACATAAACATTTTCATTTTTATGTATAAAACAATACTATGTTATAATAAAAATATGATAGAATCTATACGGATAAATCTTATGTTTGACCAGTCAGAATTAGGATACACATTTTTCTTTAGTGTACTAATTTTTTATATGTTGATTAAATAAAGTAATGGTGCATAACTTTCAATTTATACTGGAAAAACCTTGCTGTTGATTGATATCAAATCAACCAAAATGCAAAATGATACAGAAGCAAACAAGGGAAAGATCCAAATGTCCTATCAACTAACACCATCCTGCCAATGACCTTATCCAGTATACAGACGCTGAAAAATGGTTTGCTCAAATACCAAAATCAGAATTGCAAGGCTCATTCTCACTTGGAATACACTGTGCATTCTCTGGTTCAGATCATACAGCCATTTCATGGGTCCATGCAACTCCTTTAATCAGCTGTTACAAAACTTGATACCCCAAACATAATAACTACTTTCTATGTTGACTCTACAAAGCACAACAACATGAGAATTTATTTTTAGAAAATTCACTCAAAGAAGGTCACGGCATTCTCTAAATCCAAATGCCCCACCTGCTATACCTCCAAATATTAAGAGATCTCAACTGAAACCTCCCATCAACCTGTCATTATCACGTGCATCTACCTCACTGATTTGATAAAGAGTGTCATTTTATAAAGTTAATAAATTCTGTAATTTACAATCTAATTTCTAAGACATTATTTAAAGCTTCTTCAGTTTTTGCAAAATACACAAAACCATAAAGCAGTGCTAAATATAAAGGGACACCAATGGACACTTAAGTATTTCCACATGAAGTCCATTTTCTGAAACTTCAATTTAATCTGGCTGAAACTTCACAAGACCATTTCTATTAAGAGTAGGGAAGAAAAAACACCTTATACTGTGACCAGTTCCTTTGCCTTCCCACAAAACAACTGCAGGGCACTCATACATGTGACGGACCTTTGCTCTGTCACGTGCAAATTGGCACGCGTTGGATCAGACTTGATTAATCGAGTCTGCTGCAAGTCTGCTGCAGCTCCAGAAGCCTCCACGTCATGTGCATTCAGCGCCCCCATGTTTCAAAAAGGTGGCAGGGACGCTTTAACTAAAGTTCGCCAAATGAACTTTAGTTAAAGCACCCCGCTGCCATTTTGAAGTGCAGAACACTGAATACATGTGACGCTATAGGAGCTTTAATAAGAGTGGCTCTCAGAGTGGCTCCCCCCCGCCCCGAACCTGCTGCACGTGTATAGACGTCTGCAGTTTCTGCAAAATGTAAAGGTTTGCAGGAACTGCAAGTCAATTTGGGGAGATCTACTCTCATAAGTACTATCTGATATATCTAATTTGTCTGTGGGGAAAGTAAGGGGCTTTGTGTGAACAAATTTAGAATATGACTTATTTTGTTTACTCACATAATGGGGGTGTGTGTGATGAGTGACACTTTTTTTTAGGAGTCTATTCCAGCATGTAACCTTTATGTAAGTGTTGGAGTAGCTTTTAATTTTTTAACTGCTTTAGCAATTTCTATTAATCTATCCAGAATGTTATTAATATTAGCAAATATTTAGAAAACCATGTACATTTTAATGTTAATTTGGTCCACTTCTTCAATTTCTTCTACAGAGTACAAATTAAACAGATTTTCTTCCACTACTGAATACCTCACCTCCAATTAAACCAGACATTAAAAGAAAGCTACAGAGGACTTTGGGACTGGGCAGCTTAGGAAATCATGCAGAGTATTCTGTATTCCATTAAGTTATTCACTGGCAATGGCAAAGAACCGACAGCATATCTAGTGGGCAAATATCAGAGCAAAACAAAAACACAACCCATTACTAAAAATACTGCTCTTCCCCAAAGCCAGCACAGAAAAGCTGAAGGCTACTTATCAGTCATGGAATTTCAATACAGAAATACAATTTTGGTTCATCTAAGTTTTGGGTCAGAAAGTAGCTCCTATTACCATTTTGTGCATACTCTTTTATAGTATGGAAGTACTGAACAGTTGGTGCAAAGAGAATTCAACAGGGATTCCAGAGAAGGGGGGCGGAAATAGCAGGAACCATGGAGCTACACTAACCTACTACTTGAAAAATGAAAATATCATAGTCTACATCATGGGTGTCCAACTTCTAAGTCACTTGCCACGTGGGTCACACGCAGGCACTCCCCTATCCACTGCTGTACCACATGCCTATGCAGGCACCCCCACACCACAGCACCACATGGGTGCACAAGTACAAATCCCCCATGGCTGCAACACATGCTGGTAATAGTACCCACTTCCCCACACTGCTGCAATATGCATATGCAACCTCTCTTCTCCACTCTGCCCTCTCCTTATGGTCCTGGACTCACCCTCAACATCTCATGCTATCACACTGCCTCAGCTGCTGAGTCAGAGGTAGGAAGTGGCAGCTGGAAGAGAGAGGGGGAACCTGGACTGCAGCAACAGGGGGAAAAGCAGCCGGGTGAAAGCCCGGGTGGTGGTGGTGGGGGGGTGAAATTTAGCCCCTCACAGGCTGCCAGTTGGACAGTCCTGGTCTAGGTATCATATTCTGGCATATCAGCCAATAGCAACATCCCATAAAAATAACGGTTCTGTCAAGCTATATGCAAAATCTAGTTGTCAGGTCAAAATCATATTGTATAAATGTACCGCCCTCGCATCCCTGTATTGGAGGCATGTCTAAGACATGAGTTACTATGGGTATTGTTGGAAGCATCTCATTGCTCTCAGGGACACTGAATTTCAAAAGGCAACAGCAGATTTGTATACAAAACCTACTTATACACATCAAAGGAGGAGGAAAAGAAAGACTATCTTCAAAAAGCATAATCCTGGGGTCTCTAGATCAGGTCTGTTTGGTATTACATATGAAATGGCTAACTACTAAGCATTCTTAACGTCTACATTATGACATATCTTGTCCTGGCAATATTTATAGTTTACGCAAAAGTGCTGGAAGGAGCCGATCGGTGGAATGTGGGTGTAGGCAGGGCCCTACCAGATTCATGGCAAAAGTGGGTTCCGCTGCAGCTCCTTTAATCTTGCAGGTTCCCTTGTGCGTCCCAGGCACACTGATTGGTGGAGAGACCCCACTTTCGGGTCACTCCTTATTGGCAGGGAAGTGAAAACCAGTTTTAAACTTGGTGCTGTTTTTGTCTCCCTGATGATCAGCACAAGCAGTGGGGTCAACCAGGGCCCCTCGGCCAATCAATGGTGAGGAGACAAAAACAGTGCCAAGTTTAA